CAGAGGGGTGGGGGTGAGAGGACTCCCCAGAGACAGAGCGGGGAGCAGAAAAGGCGGATCCACTGAAACACACTGCTGAGGGTGGCAGCAGGGAGACGGGAGGGGTCTGCTGCACCAGGAAGGGTCATTTCTTGGCTGGGGGTCGAACTTGCGCTGAAGCAGCTGTGGCCAGCTTCTCAGTGCTGCACTTTTAACCTGTTGCGCCACCAGAGAGGGCCCCGATTTAATTTTTTAATCCACAGAAAAATACTTGGAAAAACCCTGTGTCCCAGCAACGCCTCCCTGCTTGCTCCGGCCCAGCCACGTGCCCTGCCTGCCCTGACTCCGGGAGCGGCTCAGGGCTGAGAGGTTTCCTGGTGGTGTCCGCAGGGGCATCGCTGTGCCTCAGAGCCCAGGGATGTCCTTACCCCCCGGGCCCCAGCCGGGCCTGTCTGCCTCCCGTAGGAGGAAGGAAGCTGGGGAAGGCCGGATGGCCCAGCCCCAGCAGCGGGGGCCTGGCACCCCACCCCTTGGGGCCAAGCCCCATCACACCCCCAGCGCAGGGCGGGTATGGGGAGGGCTGGGCCCCTGCCGCCCCTCCTCTCCCTCTTGGGCCCGCCTGCGGCTGGGGCGCCCCGCACAACACACCGGGCTGAGCTGGTTTGTTTTATTTTCCTGGCTGGCTCTGGGGCTTTCCGCCGGCCGGGACATCCCCCTGGGCAGCGCCATCCCCTCCTGCGTCCCTTGCGCCGGCACCATGCGCTGAGACTGGTGCCAGAGGGGCCTGAGGGGCGCAGGGCTGTGCCGGGTTTGGGGCGCCTCGCCCCGGGGGAACCTGCTGGTTGTGGTCGCTGTCCCTGGTGCTGGGTGGCCATGGCCTCTACAGCTGCGCCTCCGGCAAGCGTCCCCCGGAGGGGGCGGCGCCACCCCCACCCCTCCCCGGCCCGGGGTTTCAGATTAAAGCCGCGCCTGGCGTCGCTGTGTGCAGGTTGTGTGGACACCCCTCCCGCTCGTCACAGTACACACCGAGGTGGACGGGAGAGCGGTCAGCTCGGTAAGAAACCCCACAGCCCTCAGTGCCCTCTGGCCTCCCCGGGGACTCGGCGCCCGCTGCCCGGATTCGGGCCATCTGAACTGTGCCATCCACTGGGCAGCCCGCGCGCAGACTCCTAGGCAGACACCTGCAGCTGGCCCCAAAGGGCCAGGAAATGCAGTGGGCCCGCAGCCGCGCAGCAGCCAGCCGACGGCTTCACGGCCCCAGCAAATGTCCACACAACAGGCGAGTCCGGGCCCCCGCCAGTCCCCCGCGAGCTCTCCAGCAGGGCCGGCTTCTCAGCGGACTCCACGGGCCAGGGCTTCCCGACCCAGTCGGATGCAGAACACGCCGAGTGACAGAACACAACCACTGTCCTTCAGAGTAACGGGCACAGCGCCCCTCCGGCCCGAAGCCCAGTGCGGCTGGTGGGGTGACAGCACCCCAGCGACCAGAATAGGAGGCGCCTGCCCTGCTCCCCGCGGCCTCACCTCCCCCAGTGCCGCTGTGCGCCCACCCGAGACCTGCCTGTGGGGAACTTTCCCAAGGCCCCACCCTGCGGGCACCCCTCAGGACAGTGGTCTTCGGCGGAGCCTGAGAGCGGGGCTGTGGCCGCCCCGAGACCCCTCCTCCCGGTAAGGGGCCGGCGGGCCTGTGGCTTGAGGCCGCGGCGGCTGCTGGGTGGCCAGTGAGCTGCAGCCTCCTCCCGCAGTCGCCCACTGGCCAGTGCTGGGCATTGGGCGCTGCCTCTAGGCAGCACTCCTGGCCCTGCCTTCCCTGGGCCTCCGCCCCCCGCGCCGCAGTCTCTGCGGCAGCAGCTGATGCACCCAGGGCGCGTCCCACGCCACCAGCCCGCCTGCGTCCTCGGAGCTGACGCCTCCGGGAGCCCGGGCCCTGCCTGCTGCAGCCGCCAGAAGCAGGCGGGGGCTTCGCGACGGCCCCTCGCTGGCCTCGGCCTCCATCCCGTGAGGGCACAGAGAACTTCCACACACGTGGGCCTGGGCTTCTTCCAAGATGGCGGCAGGGCTCTGCCCCACTGAGCTCACACTCCGCGGGGCGACAACCCTGCCCTGGGCCAACCTGCTGCCGGCAACGAGCAGTCTGGGTCCTCCACACTCCCTGCGCGGGCGCCCGCCCCGGGCTTCACGGGCGCCTGGGCCAGAGAAGCGGGGTGCGTGCGTGAAAGGGAGACACCTGTGCTGAGGGGGCAGCGGGCAGCGCCCCGGAGTTGCGGCTGCTACAGCCGAGAGGAGACAGCAGGGTGAAGGCCTGTGACCACCTCCCCCTGGTGAGATCGGACTGCACCTGCCCGGCGGGAAGGTTGCGCAACTCCAACGTGCTTCATCGCGCGCGCGGCCTCGCCGCCTCACACCACAGCCCGGGAAGCTGATCACCGGGCCCTTCCCTCAGCCGCTCGCTCCGGTGCGAGTGTCCGACTGGAACCCCAGCCCCCACCCTCCCTCCAGTGGCCCCAGGCGGCACTGAACTCAGATGCCCCGGCCACCTTAATGTCCTCTCCACGCCCACCCCTTTCAGCCAGGCCTGCCCCGCGCGGCCAAGGCCACCCCCGCTGGAGCCCAGCTTTATCTCCCTCCGCTCCCACCGACAGAGCGCCTGTGTGACCGCTGAGCGTGCACACGACCGGCCCTGAAGGCCAGTCCGCGTGCGGCTTCAGCTGTGGCCCCGCCGCCCCCTACCCGACCTTCCGGCGTCCACCAGAACTCGGCCCAGCAAACAAGAACGTGGTTACCTCTGCAACCTCCGGGCTGAGCTCCGACCCACGCACACTCACACTCGGCGTCCGGGCGCTTCCCAGCCGAGGCCGAGATGTGCCCCCCCCCCGCAGCTTTCCAGCAGACTGCTGGGGTCTGAATGCTGTTACGAGAAGCCCCGCCTGACCCCCACCTTCAGGTGAGGCTCCTGGGTCCCAGCAGAGCCTCTCACCTCTGCCTTGTGCCCCCTGCCAACCTGCTCCTCGGCGCAAGGTGCAGCTCTCCCGGGAGTGGCCAAGAGTCTTCGGCTGGCAGGACTCTACCGGCACAAGACCCAGAGAGCAGGGCCTGCTTGGGGCCTGCTCGGCACCCGCAGGGCTGGGGGCCTGCAGCCTTACCCCGCTCTAGGCTGGACCCCTTCTTCCAACTCTAGCTAGGCACACCCCAGTTCTCTGCAGGCAGCTGGAGCTCTGCACAGGTGGTCTCCAGCCCTCACGAGAACACGCCCCCCTCCCCACTACAGGCCAGCACAGTGGACATTCCGGCGTAAGCCCCCAAACCCATGGCCGTGACCCCTGGACCACGCCAGCACGGACCTTCCCTGCCGGAGCCATTAGCACAGCCCCCAGCCAGGAGTGGACTGCTGGGGCCACTGACGGCCTGCTGGGTGCTTCTCAGAACTTAGCCTCTGGACTGCACCCCTTCTCCAGAATCACCCTCCTCAGGAGCCACGGTGAAAAGCGCTGTGTGGGCCCTCCTGGTGGTACAACGGGTTAGGACGCAGCACTGCACGCTGGCCACAGCCGCTTCAGTGCAAGTTCGATCCCCGCCGGAGGTGACCACAGGGCGCGGCAGCCCTCTCCTGACCCGCCCGCTGCTCCACTCAGCAGTGTGCCTCGGCGATCTGCCTGTTCTGCTCCCCACTGTCTCCGGTGAGTCCTCTCACCCCTGCATCTCTGGCCTGTCCTAGTTCCGTATGCATAAGTTAATCTTTTAAAAAAAGCAAACAGCAGGGGACAGCCAGTGGCTAACATGGTGGGCGAGAGCTTTCTGGGGTGCGGGACTGGCTGCCTCCGTGCAGCATCGCTGTCCTAGACACATCTGGGGCCTCACCTACTAGGACGCTGGCTGAGGAGCTGGGGGATGTCCACGGAGTGACAGCTGCGAATGGGGCAGGAGCCGGACACCTGCACTGGCGGCCTGGGCCACCTGCACGAGCGTGTCCTTGGCGCTGGAGGCGAGCCCAGGGGCTCCCTCCTGGCCGTCTTCGACAGCACAAAGCCTCCGATGGGCCTCCTGGGTGTGGGGGATTCCAACCAGATGGAACGGAAAGCGCCCCCACCCCCACCGTGTGCCCTCCTCAGCGGCACCCCAGGCCTTTGGCCACTGTCTATGAGGCAGGCGGGTCACTTGCGCCTGAGGGATGGGGCGGCAGCGGGCCGCCAGCTTTATTGAGGCGGCCTGGGGGGAAGGCTCACTTCCACATAGCCGTCAGCTGTCCCCTCGCCGTCAGTGAAACACCCACACTCCCCTGCTGGAGACTGCACAAGCCGCGGGCGCCAGTCCCCCTCCCGCCCTCTGGGTGGTGCCCAGACCACAGCCCAGGGCACGCGGCCAAGTCCAGTCCCCAAGCTCTGGGAAGGTGCCCCCGCCCCCCAGAGTGCCCAGAGTAGTGAAGACCTGCCCCCAGGGGAGGCGGGGGCCAGGGCCCCCAGCCGGGCCGCTCCCTGCTGACACAGGGAGCCCTGCTGCGGTGAGCCCCGAGGGGACGAGGACCAGGGCGCCGCCCCCCCACCCCGACCAGTCCAGCATGGCCCGGCGAGCCTCAGCTCGGCAGCAAGAGTCCCGGGCACCCCG